AGTGGTTTCAAATTAATTTATGTTCAATAAATGCCAGAAATATCTGTTCATTGGTGAAATAAGTATCACATAAAAATTTGTTCTAAAAGTGTATTGCTTTATTTTGCAAGAGCCATTATGTTATATTATACATAATGGTAATTTTGGCACTGATATGATTTTAAAAGTAGACTTGAAATAGTTCCGTTTATTATGTTAAAGTACAAACTATGTCTGCTTGATTCTGTTCATATTCTGTAAATTTATATAGACACTGATTTAGTAATTTGGTTAAGGAGATGGGAATGATATTGATTTAAATTACTGTTTGTTAGCTTCACATTCATTGTTTCATGCATTTTTAGGAAAATGATAATAACACAAGCATAAGATTTACAGGTAAAAAGTGTTTCAGACACATGTCCTCAATTAGGTACAATGTAATACTTGATGATGTTGAGTATTTTTTGCCTAACTTCCAGCGAGACATATTCCATGCATATTTAAGACAATAATGATAATGTAAGCAGTTAGATAAAAAAGTTGTTTTTATTTAACTGGCAATATTTTTGTCTATATTAGATAAAAAAGTTGTTTTTATGTAACTGACAATATTTTTGTCTATATTAGATAAGAATGACACTTTATAATTTGATGTTCAAAGTGCTTCTCTGGATAATCTTCATTAGAAACACTCAAAACTAGAGGCGGATTTAGAGGGGGGCCCAGGGGGCTGAGCCCCCCTTTTTCTGGGAAAAATTTAGTTGATTATATAGAGAATCACTGAATCATGACCGGAGCGGGCCCCTCTTAGGCAGTCAGTGGGCCCCCACTTATGAAAATTTCTGGATCCGCCACTAAAAACCAAATTTGAAAGCCATGGATGTCTAATACTCAAGGAGCAATAAGACTAAAATTACCAAGAGTAGCCAAATCCATCTAAATTCACATGTCGTAGGGATTTGGGTCCTTAGTTTATCAGCCAAAAATTTAAGAAATATATGTAATAAATCATATTATATAGTGGTATTGGAGCCCAGAAAACTGTTAACTTACTACTGTTGAAGTCATGAGAATGTATAAAGTCTTTGGTGTTTAATTAATACATTATTAGAATCTGTATTTAGATACTGCACTAAATGCACCCTTTTAAACATTCATTATTAAAATCAAATTTTGGAAAAATGTGACTTGAAATATATCTTATTTTTATTAAGATATGTTGTAAAAATAATTTAAAGTGATATGTAAAGAAGAAAACAAATATATTATTATAAATAGAGCTAATAATTTGAGGTTTCAGACAGAATGGGTTCATTTATTATTAAGGAAGAGGCTCTTCAGTAGTATGATTGACACCTATAATTCTTATATATCTTTAGATAGAGATTAACTTCAAAATTTATGTTCATCTTAATGTGACAGGTGCCATTTTTAAAGATGAAAAATATTTAATTTCAAATGATTTTAAATATACCTATTTTACTTTTATGAAAGGTGTCCAGAGATGAACTTAGGGCAGTAATAAAAATGTGGTGGTGTTACTTTATCATTATCGCCCTGAAGTATAGACAGTATCAATACCGATATGACTTTCATATCTATGATAATATCTTGTAAGACCATCAGAACTGTTATAATCTCAGAGATATTTTGTATAGTTTGTATTTTATATGAAAGATTATATTCTGATAGATAAGATTGAATGTTGTACAATTGTGCAGTTATTTATGAAGATAAGGAACTATGCTCCTGGTGCCAGTTTGATGCTTTTTTTCTGCTTTTTCGTTCTGTTTTGTTTTTTGGTGTGAGGTCTGATTGAAGAAGTTACTATTATTTATTATCATATCTTGTCACAACTATCTTGATGAAGTTTGGAAAGTGTTGAATGAAACTTTACACCCATGTTAATACTACATTTTCTTATCTTACTTATTTCTTTTACTTCCTGGTCATTAAAGATCCAGGAGAACATCTTATTGCTGGTTTCCATTTTCACTGAACTAGTACACATTTTTATCTAGGGGCCAGCTGAGGCCCACCTCCTGGAGCAGGATTTTCTCGCTGCGTTGAAGACCCATTGGTGGCCTTTGCTCTTTGGTCGGGTTGTTGTCTCTTTGACATATTCCCCATTTCCATTCTCAATTTTATTCTAGATACCTTTTAGGTTGATGTAATATGATGAGCAAGATGATTTGGTGTTGAATGTCCAGTGGCTAATATTATGTGTATCTCAGGAGGAGAACATGTTAATATGATATGGATGTAAACCTTGCTTTGTACTAAACCTGAACAGGCTGAGTTTGATTTGTTTAAAATATGCATGTTTACAAGGTACATATCTCTGCAGGAAGACTTGTTACCCAACTTTAATAGACACATTATTCTGAATTTGAGATAAATAGTCGTTTCTGAAACTCCTAGATTTCATCTCTGTGTTTAGCGGAGAAGTATCAGATACCGATTTTCAACTCTTTGGTTACACCCAGCCTGAGATTGAACCCATGATCTCTTACACTTGTGATGATCACATAACAATGAGACCACTTAGACCACTTAGACCACTTAGATAATTGATTATGTAATAACAAGTGGAACTTTTCTTTATATTTCAACTAAAATAAAATCCACAATCACGTTCACATGTTCATGGATGTTAACATCAGGGGAAAACAAAATCAAATGAAGACAACAGCAAGAATCACAATTTCAAGTTTACCTATGCTTAATTTTTACAAAATTATGATTAGGAGTTAGTGCTGGAAATTGTGATGATTGATCAGCTTTAGAGATTTTGCCTTTTTATCTTATAAACTAGCATAAATAGACAGAAACTGTAAACATAAAATATGAATAGCAATACAAGATCTCCAAATACACCAAAATGGCTAATTAAATTCATAAATTGACTTTTTATAGGAATTTGTTGACCTAACATTTCTTACAATTTCATTGATGAGAAAAAAATGTGTGTGTTAATTCATAGCAGGAAATATATATCTGAGTAAGAATATTAAAATGACTGTGTATAGAAGACCTCAGATCACAATTATTTTTACCAATTGTTACAATTTTTGTTTGTGTAAAAGTGGAATTGAATTATAAATGAAATAAATTCACCTTCTTATAGGTCATTATTATTCTAATAAAATATGCATTTCCCAGCAAACCCAATAATGCTTTCACTCTTGAGAGTGCTGCAAACGTCTATAGGGTAAACATTGAGTCTTGAATAAATGCTGAGGGTTAATCTCTTCTCTACAGTCACATTGACCAAATCACTACTTTCACTTTCAACAGTCTATTTTATCCACATTTTATTGTTATTTCTATGTATATATAACTTACAGGACCACTTAAATAGTTAACTTTTCAAAGGAAACAGTAGCAAGAAAAATCTGAAAGAAATACCCCATATAATACTTGGAAACTATTATAGGTAGACCATGAAGAAAGGGTGGTCTGAAGGCAGAAACAAGTCTATGATGCAATTATAATGAGCTATCAGTGATTTAATATTTCTCATGAGAAGTAGTTTATTTTTCAGTTATTTGTATCATATTTTTGTACATCAAAGGATGTAATTCTACATCATTAGTATGTTTCTTTTCACCCTACATTACTTTATCATATTCCATCTACATTGTTTATAAACAATGGTAACCCCAGGGTCAGATTTCCTAAACTCAAGGGTCATCAAAACCTCATACTACACATATGTAATCCTCAGGTGAAAAATATACCCTCTCAGGTGTTCAAGGGTTATTTAAGGTCATTAATAAATAATAATTTTTCATTTGATGTGGTTTGTTTGTTTTTCATGTCATTGCAGTTACAGCAGAGATAAATTCCCAGGTGTAGTGTATAAAGTTTTACTGATCTCTCAGATCTCCATGCTTTGGTTATCTAATGTAGAAAGACAGGAGAAATTTGACAAGCTTTGAGTACAAAGGTGGCAGATATGTTGCAGAAGTTTATAAAATTCTCTTTCCAAGTGTTTATTTGCATTCTTGATATGAAGCAAATATTTAGGTGTTTTGATAAGCAGAAATGATTATGTCAGATAATCCATGTTATTCTTTTTTGCTTGAATGAAAAAAACTTCACAGAAAATAATGAAGATTTGTAGATATTTGCCAAAATATTATCAAATATTATGAATCAAGTCAAACTCATCTTTCATTGTTTAGGGCATTTTTTGGATTCAGGTTTTAAACGAGTGTAGAGTTTCTTAGAGTTGGAGCCAATCTTGAAGTAAAATTATTGTCTTTACCAATCAGTATCATTAATTAATTACTTCACCTGTTGGTGATCTATTTATCAAGGTGCGTGTAATCATTTTAAATTATTGGATGTTTAACAAAAAAAACATAAAGATAACTGAATAGTTGTTACTAATTGCTGATACAAGTTCTGTTTTTAACCAAACAAAACAACAGTTGATTCACCTCAGTTTTCAATGCTGAATTGTTTCACATTTTTTTCATGTAGGACCCTTTTATAGCTGACTATACAATATGGATTTGCTCATTGTTGAAGGCCGTACAATGACCTTTAGTTGCTTACATCCATGTCAATTAGACTCTGGTAGATAGTTGTCTCATCATACCACATCTTATGTTGTGTTGATGGTTAATATATGGACTAACTGGGGTCAAACTACATAAAGCATATCCTCCTCATTTTGGCTCTAAATCTAAAAGACATTGTAGGGTCCTTGTATTTATCTTGTTAAGATTTTACCTCTTTGAATTCTGCATGGAGTAATGAAATTAACTAGAAGTAGCTGCTAGGACCCATTGCCTAAATATACCTTATGGGTTTTGCTTATTCATGTTATTGTTGAAGGCTATACAGTACATGTAGTTGCTTACATCTATGTTATTTGGACTCTGGTGGCAAGTTGTCTTAATCTTTCCACATCTCCATATCTTTATCAGTATTGTAAGGAGAATATTATCCATCAGTAAATTTACATGACTTCACAAATCAGTTTCAAGTTTTAACTGTTTTATTTTCAGGAGGAAATCAGTTATCCAACCAACCATTTACTATACAGTGGTGCTGGGTGTCCTTCAAACATCAAGAGTACAAAGTGACAGAGAACAACAAGTATCTAGAAATCCAAGTACATAGGAGAGGCTATCTAGGGGAAACTGTTTATGTGGGTAAGGAAAAGCATCAGAGAAGAAATTTAGTAAAAGTACAAGAGATGCTTCAAAAAATCTCAATCACACATGATATTGAAGAAAAGAAACGTTGAAATAATCAGCTGTTCCATCTAACTGCTTTCTCTGAAGTGTTATCTTCATTTATGTGTCTCTAATATTATATCATATGTATCTCATGTCATAATCTTGTATTGTGTCATCATAGATTTTATGCTACATTGTATTTATAACCAATGTTTCCTGTTTTTCTCACAAAAAAAACCTAACCAAAATTATTATTTGCAGCAATGATGTTAAGATAGTTCATAGAAAAAAGAAAACAGCACATCTCAATTATTTACAAACATGTGACGAAATTAAACTAGTTTTTTAAAAACTTAACATTCCCTTTTTTCTAGTAGCTAGCTTTTATAATCTAGCTTTTATACCCCCACCCACTTAATCTAAACACATATTAACTGTAATGGTTACTTCATTTCATATCATTGTAACTGATGTGTGTATATGGTTTTAATAATATATATGATATATCATTTCAGGTATTACAGCTGAAAATGGAACAGCTAGAATAAATAAAGATTTTGGACATTGGTATGCACCAACCATACAGTTTAATCCAGGTAGGAAAAACATGAAAAATGAAACAGAATAAAAGTTTATTTTAAAACTAGTATGATTAAAATCAAACGTGTGATACACTGTCCTTAATACGTGTGAAAGTTGTGCCTTTACACCAATGTCCGTGGATAGGGAGAGGGTTTAGTGCTCACAAACATGCATAACCCCGCCATATTCTTTATGGGCCTGTCCCAAGTCAGGAGCATGTTAGCCAGTGGCGGTTTGTCTGCTATTTTTGTTTTTCATTTTTTGTTTTAGCATAATTTAGGCAGTTGTATTTCATATTTAAATGGTTTCACATTTTGTCATGCAAGGGCCTTTTACATTTTACTTTACAGTATGTGGTTGGTCATTGTTGACCATCACACTTCAACGTCCTACAAATATATAAGTAAATGTCATTATTTCTATATTCCTTCATGGTGATAAGAGTTTAATCCAAGAATGGACAAAGTTTTGTATTTAGAATTATTTATATTCACAGAACAAACAGAGAAGACATGGAAGATACATATGATAGACGATGAACGATATGAAGGAACAGAATACTTCAACTTAAAGTTAGATAATCCTGTTATGACTGTAGTGGAACAACCCAAAGAAGCCAGGGTCGTCATAGATGACAAGGAAGACGGTAAGATTAATCTAAAGTTAACTTGATATCTTTGTTTATTTGAAATTTAAGAGGAGAAAAAATGTTGCATCTTATGAGAAAGATCAGCTGTAAGGGAAATAAGAAGAATAGATAAGATTGATTTATCCTGCATGTTTATCGGTAACAAAAACTAGATATATCAAAATGGGTAACTTTTATAGAGGTTATGTAAGATGCAGATATCTTATATCAACATGCAAAAAATAGAAAAGACAGTATGCAGCTTCTTATTGCATTTTATTAAAAGTCAGAACAATTTTTTCAATTTTGTGTGAAAATAAAATTTGGCTCTAAAAACAATTGGGATGTGAATGATTAAAACAGTCTGTCTGCAAATGTATAATTACAAGCATAAAAAAAATATGCCAGGCAGACAAGTCAGAGTTTTCGTCTTCTCAATGAATGATTGAGAAAAAATATTTATCTGTTTTCTAGAAAAGAAATAAATATCAAGGCCATCTTTCAATTTGGTAGAAAATGAAACTTATTTAGAATCTTGTATAAGTTTGACTAACCAAAAGGGGTTTATTTAGTTTATATAATACATATTAATAATTACAATCAAAGAAATTAAGACAAATTAACAAACTTAAGGTAGGCAATTTCTATAACAATTGTCCATGAAATACCAACCTGAAATAAGATATAAAAAAAGGTAGAGATGTTCAAAAAATAATATGTAGTGATTCTGTTTATATGTTATAGAGTCAATGATATCATTCACTAGTCCTGAATACAGGGTAGCGGAAGACATAGGAGAGATTATGGTCCCTATAAAGAGAACAGGAGATCTGTTAGATGAATTAATGGTCGTCTGCTGTACCAAGTCAGGTAGTCATCATATCAGTCTTGATTGTCTCGTCTGCGACAATAGTCTCGGAAAGCGAGACATAGGTATTGCTTTTCCAGCGACAATGACGAGGACGTCAACAAATGTTAAGTTTTCTGCTTAAGTTAGTTTGATAGGAACTACTTGTGATAGACCATTGATATTTAATATAGATTTGCATTACTATCAGTACATGTCTGTTTGATGACTATATTGAGGCCCTGCCCCCTAGGTCATGGTCCTCTGACTGAATTAATTAGCAATTTTCAATGCTTTCTATAAAGTTACATTACTGTCTGTACATCTCAGTTTGTCGATCTCAGTTTGTCCATCTCAGTTTGTCGACCATTTCGAGACCTTGCCCACTAGATCAAGGTCCAGCGACTTTGAATTAATAAGCAATGTTGCTGTCTATCAGAGTGTCCTTTTTCTGAATTTTATGCCGATAGGCGAGACATTTCTCTGTGTCAGCAGTTTATTTTAATAAAAATTGTATGACTTATGAACTGTTAATCAAATAATTATGTATTTTTTTGAAAATTTTCAGTCTATAAACAATTGGAATCAATATTGTGGTGATGCATTTTTTCTTTGCAATATACATTGTGTTTGACATTTTCATTTCACCTGTCTGTGATAAAAGGCAAGTAATTCTTTTGTTTCCTCCAGCAAGCCTTGAAATATTTTACATTAATTTTGAAATCACACTTCTATTCCACTCTCTTTCTTGTATAAACTCTATTTCGGCGGGTTGGATGAAGTCCAAAACCAGCTAATAGTATGGTGATGTTGGGCGGATGGGTGAGTGGGTGGGGGTAAATGGATACCTAATTTGTGTAATCAGTTCCTCCTACAGTTTTCAACCCAGATCCCTGAAACTTTGCAGGAAGGTTGCACATATGTTGAATTTGTGCACCTGGTATTATGGAATTGTTTGTGGAACTTTTTCTCATTTTTGCTGACTTGTGAACTTAGTAATTTTTATGCCCCCACGACAAAATGTTGAGGGGCATATTAAGTTACCCCTGTCTGTCTGTCTGTCTGTCTGTCCATTCTTCTGTCCTGAAAATGACAGGTAGTTGGACTTAGTAATTTTTTTGGTCAGGCGGGGGCATCATTTGTGTCTTACAGACAGGGTAACAATTTCAAGTTGTATGCCAACATCACTGTTTGTCAAATCTAAAATATGTGGAACTCATGCTTATGGCAGAGCAGAAAAGGGGGGGGGGGAATTGTCCATATCTTGTTTAGAAAAAGTTATGAAAGAGGGTACTTAATTTTGTAGAAAAATTTAAAAAGGGTACATAATTTTTTAGAAATATTTATGAAAGAGGGAACAAGTTTTGTATGATCTACTCCTACAATTTTCAACCCAGATTCCAGAAACTTCACAGGAAGATAGTACAGATGTACAAATTTTAAATGTTCAGTACAGAGCATACTTCATTGTTAAAAAAACAATCTTCGCAACCCAGACATTTGAGTCTTTGATCTATTTTTAATTCTATCATCAATTTAAAGTTTAAAAGTTGAAATAAAAGTAAGAGTGCGTTGTATTATCTTTTAACTCTGCTTTTTTTTTTCAACAAAACTACTTTGTCTTGAGATTTGTTATTTTCCAAGAATACAAGATAAAGTTAAAGCAATAAATAATCCGAACTCCCTGATATAAATTAACTTCCCTGATATATATTAACTTCTTCATGAAATTTAACAATGACTAGACTTCATGTAAGTTATCTTGTTGTGGATTCAATATCAATTAAGAAGGCTATAAAATTCTAAAGATAACATTACTCTATCAATTTAACATAAGTACCTATCTTTTTCTACATGGTTCTGAAGTTGATTTCATAGTAAAGGGATGTCATAATTGAAATTAACATACATTAATTCACCAAGAAATTGATTTCTTTTAATGTTTTCTTTGATTTTTATATGTGTATCAAAAAGTATATGCTGACTATTGAGCCTCGAGGTTAATTGATACATAAAGGAAATGGAAGTCTGAAAACCCACTTGAATTAAGTAATATGAAAAGGATTATTAATACAAAACAAAACGAAAAATTACATGATTAAACTACTGATTTGGCACTTTGGGTTAAGTACCTGACACTTAAGCTTGTATATTGAGAAAAAACTATGCCAATGTAATTGGAAGGGAAATTTTCATAGAGATTCTTAAGTTGTTCTGGCTTCTTATTGAATAAAGACAGATAAAACATTTCAGAATTAACAAAGAAATAGTTATAAAACTATAAGGTTAACAATAAGGTTAAGGAGGCATTGGTTCACCTAAAGTTTCAGACTCCTCAAAGATGGAAAATATTTTGGAAGCCTTTGGTTGAGGTTATTATGGATTGGTTATATGTTGAGATGAACATTTTGTCTCAAGAATATCGGCAAATTTTTGGTATATAGCTTATAAATTTTAATTTTTTGTTTCTCGTTATTTCTTTGTTTTAAAGACACCATGTTATTGTAATGACAATAACACACTATGTATAGTTTCTTGTACAGTTAATTCATGTCACTGGTTTATCATTAAGCTCTCAGTTAGCAATCTGATCATCCACAACAAAAATTTAGAGATAAAATTGAACATGTTAAATAATTTGTCATTTCAGTAACAGCAACAGGTACAACAGGAGATATGATAAACTCTGGAGCTGATTACATATCTCGCTCAGAAGATCATCATAGTACTATCAGGTTTGATGTCGGTGAGGATACCAAATACTGTAAGGTCACCGTTATAGATGATTCTATGTATGAAGAGGAGGAAAGCTTTCATGTGATACTGATGGAAACAATGGGAGGCAGGGTCGAAGGTCAGAACTGGACATCTGTTGTCATAGAGCCAGACTCTGCCGATGGTAGGTTTTGTTTGGCCATAGTATTTCAATATGTATGAGGATCAGTGATACTGTGATAAAAATTATGTGGCTTCAATTTTGATGATTATAGATAAATATTTTTTTAGACTTGCGATGATTAAGGGCTTGACATATTGTATAGACATCTGTCTATTATTGAAGACTGTATAATTACATTGACCTCTAGCTGTCTTCAAGGTTATATGTGTCGTTGGGTTGCTGCATCATTGGCCTATATCCCACATCTTCTTATATAAAACAAACATTTAGGTGTCAATATATCAAGGATTGCAATCATATGCTAGTATTTAACTCACATTTTATTTCACGAAACCACTTTTATAGTTCAGAAAAAAATAGTGAAATGATTAATCTCAAGAAAGTAGATTGAGATATTAAAAATCAAAAGGTTTTATGTATGTATTGGCAGTAAAAATGAATCTTATATAACTATGATATATCTTTTTACATTTCTGGCTAGGTTAAAACACTGATATGCATTCAAATGTTATACAGCAGCAATATAAAAGAGATTTGAATAATTTTATAGTTATCAGAAATTATATACTTGCCAGGAATACTCTAGATAGATTATCATACAAATTTAAAACAATCCAGTTACAAAGTGCCACTTTTATAAAAGGCACTTTTATTTGTTGTATGTTTTATTTATTGTCTAAAGTTATAGTGATATAATATGTGCCAACTCTAAAGAAGTACTTAATAAAGTACTGTAAAGTACAAAGTTAAATGTATTCACTTAATAAGTTAGATTTAGAACTCTTAGCCATTTATACTTTTCAGACATGTACTTTATTTTACGTCTGCATTTTTTTTAGAAATTTGGTATGAAAATAGAGTGGTAGTGATAGGTTGGGCTCTAGATCAAATAACATAAATGTTCCCAGGGACTTGTTTCTTATTTGCCGTTTTTTGGACATCCTTGTCATACCGACACAGAGTTTTTACAGTTTTACCATGTATCATTGCAACTGATCTTGTCTCTTTATACAAACACTAAAATTTATTTATTTGAAAAATTATTCTTAAATGTAAGGTAACTCATAATTAACATTTCCAGATTAATTTTATTTCAGAGCCCCAGTTTTTCTTCAGTTCACAAGAGTTTCATGTTGATGAAAGTGCTGGTCAGCTAGAAATATCTGTCAAGAGAGAAGGAAGTGACCTGTCCAAACCATCTAGTGTCACTGTAACATCTAGACAAACTGACCCAACATCTGCTGAAGGTGTGATTTTATTCTTTGAGTCTTATATATTTAGTTCACTTTCATAGAGTGTTCATAAGAAAAATTCAAAGCTTTTTTTGTTGTTATTGACAAAAACAGATTTAATTCCAAAATAGTAGTTATCTTATATTATTTGAATGAATTTATATTTTAATGATTGATTGATTGATGCATGCTTAACATCAAGTTGTTTATATCTTAATAGAAACCTAACTTGTACTATTATAATTTCAATTGGAGCTGTTCTACATGTTTGTTTAGTATATTTCATCCAAAGGAGTAGGTTGATAAGGTCTTAAAATGGCCTCTATTTCTAGCTAAAATTTAAAATGTTAATTCACAATGAATCATAGCTTATACAATTATTAGATTGAAAATATGTCTTTTTGTTGAGAATTTACGTACTTGTGTTCTATTCATGACGTCACAATAGCACTCATTTTGATTTTTCACGAAAATTCAAAGAAAATGGATAAATTTTCATTGATTTTTTTGGACAGGAAACATAGAGCTCATGGATCGACAAAAAAGATCTTTTAACATAATCTTTGTTAATTTCCTCACATGTTTTTTCATCAACTAAAACATTTTTTATCCTGAAACATTGAACTTAATAATCAGGGCCAAATATGGCCTTTACCGAACTTACTCCTTTTTGTGAAGTTTTTTTCATGCATTGCGAATAAAATTTGTGAATTGGTTTTATCATTTTTTCAATCAATTGTGAATATTCAGTGGTCCAGTATTTGCAGCAAGCCATTAAATATCCATCTATCCACCAAAGCAGACCAAAACTTGGCCTATCGTACATAAAAAGAAAAACAGGAATCACCATAAATATTGGACAGACGTATATTAGACAACACCAACCACCCACACCTGACTGGTCCAGGAAAATAGATGTACAATCAGAGACATTTACAACAATAAAAAACACATGGTCCAGATAGCTTGACTTGGTACAGGCATAAAATATGTTGGGTTAAACAAGTTTTACATGCACACAAACTTCTCCCTTTGCCAAACCATTTTGCAAACTGAGCTGTATGTAGTGAAAGTAAAACACAAAATAGAAAGCCTTCACATTTTAGCTTCCAACTGGATGACCACTAACTATTTCACTGTCTCCAAGTGTCAATTTTAATTGTAATATTATCAAATGCAGACATATGTGTTTGTAATAAATGATTAAAAGTATTGGTATAAAGTTTGCCTTAAGTTTATATCTATTTACAGCTGGAGATGACTATGTAGCTGTCAACAAAATTTTAAACTTCCCACCAGGAGTGACAATAAAAAGTATTAATGTGACGATCCTTGATGATCTTGGACAACCTGATTTAGAAGGACCAGAGAAATACCAACTTGTATTGAGGATGCCTATGGGAGGAGCTCTTGGTAGTCCTAAAATTGCTACAGTTGTTATAGATGATACTATTTCTGATGGTAGGTATTAACTTGTGCCAGGTAGTATATAAAAATTAAACTTCAGGTTGAAAAATATATGGGTATGTGGTTTCATTAGCAGTAATTCAACTTTAAGTATAAACTTCATAATAAAATTATATGTGAAACAAAATGTGTAACACAACTGTAAAATAAAGTTTTATCATTGTAAGGTGAATATGACGTTTTAAAAAATCTAAAACAGAATAGCTGTTCGAAGAAAATATTTTTATACCCTACGCAACGGAGTTGTGTAGGGTATAATGTTTTTGACCCGTCCATCCGTCCGTCCATCAGTCCTGTTCTTGTCATTGGAACTCCTCTGAAACCACACAACAGAATTTCCTGAAACTTTGGAGATAGTAAGGACATACTATGTAGATGTGCATATTGACAGCAAATTATGATTCAACGTTGTTTATAGGAGTGATGCCCCTTTGAACTTAGAATTTTGGCCTATACAAATGCAACAGTTTGTCATCGCAACTCCTCTGAAACCACACAACAGAATTTCATGAAATTTTGTAGATAATAAGGACACACTATGTAGATGTGCATATCTACAGGAAATTGTGATTAATTTTTTTCTATGTTTTATTCCCCTTTTGAACTTAAAATTTTGGCCTACATATACTACATTTTTGTACTTCAACAGTTTGTCATTGCAACTCCTCTGAAACCACACAACAGAATTCCATGAAATTTTGTAGATAATAAGGACATACTATGTAGATGTGCATATTCACAAGAAATTTTTATCAGTTGACTATTTTAGGAGTTACAAGTCTTTGAACTTAGGAATTTGGTAAGATTTTCTTTGCCCATGGACAATGTGGGGGCGTGGGGTATTTGGGTGTGCTCAAAAAGGTTCTTTAAATGAATTACTGAGGATGTGATATTGTGAGAATTTCCTAATGTGAAGAAATGTATCATACTTTGTAACAGACTATATCAATTTTAGTACAGAATATTTTTGGATATATAATTCAGTTTTAGTTAAGTGAAAAAAATGTTTTACTAGTTATAATCTCAATATCTTACTGACATGTTTATTTTTGTTTTATTTTCAGCTCCAGTTATGGAATTTGAAGAATCTTTATATTTTGGTAATGAGAAGGATGGTCAGATGACAGCAGTAATCATCAGACATGGCGACCTTGACCATGATGCAACAGTAAGATGTTACACTAGACAGAATACAGCTACAGTGGCTGAGGATTATATTGAAAGGCCAGACACAGATCTTTCTGTTGTATATTTTTCACCAGGTACAGGGATCCTACATTTTATAATTTGATTACTATTAAATTGATAAAGCTGGTTGGTATGTATAGGAGTCTTGACAAATGTTGGTACTATAATGATTGATTTGAATTAAAAAGCAAGACAAATCAAAGAAACAAATGAGTTTAATAAAGAAAAAACTCACACATAAAATCAACAACTGATTTTGATATAAATAAAAAAAAACCAGAACAAATCAAAGGTGTGATTTCAAAGGTTAGAAGCGTAGGGAAATTTTACTGTTCCAAATATCTATTGCTATTTGCAATTCTGTGACACACGATGTCATGTGATGAAGTATAACGTCACAGTACCCATTCAGTGCACCTATTCAGCAAAAATAGCAGCGGAAATCTTAAAAGTTTTCTTTGGGACTAAACAATTTGTATTTTTATGATTTGACATTATACACATCTTTCAACATAGGTAAATATATTCAAATATACACAAAACATTCACAGTATATATCAACAGATGAAGTATTCACTGGAAAAAGTAAAATCTACGGAAGTGTTGCCATGCGACGTCCACAAAAAGTCATCTTTTAAAAATGAGCAAAAAAAAGATATGTTACAAGCATCCATTTCTTAAAAAATGAATACTAAGCATGGACTAATGTCAAATTGTTCTAAATATTTGAAGAAATAAAACAAAACATCTGTTATTCAATTTTTAAGGATGTGAATTTAAGCATGGATGCAATTTGGTTACTTCTCATTACAGAATCATGGATTGTTTGGAGGTCCATTCAAACCCATTTTTCTATGATTCAATATGGATTCAAAATCAAATTGGTGTAACGATATAGAAAAAAAGGATACATCTACAAAATAAACACAGAATGGAAACTATTGTCTGGATCATTAATAAACGTTGGTAAAAAACTGTCAAAATAGGTGCAATTTGGGTACCTTCACGTTAACAATTGTTTTTCACTGAAGTATCAAATATTTTCCCTTGTGAAGTCAAAAATAATACAGGAAAATCTGCAATGTTATTCATTAGCAGTAAACTAGTAAAAAGTTGTATTGAATATATATAAACTGACTGTCAATGGGTTTAGATAGCAATTGAATAATTATTGATCACACATTATCATTAAAGGTCAGAGACATGCAGACTGTATAGTAGATATAGTTAACGATAGTGTGTTTGAACCAACAGAAGAATTCCGTCTAGTCCTGGGGAGTCCTACTAGTTCTACGACCAAAGTAGCATTAGTAGGTACAAGGAATAGTACAATATTAAAGATTAGTAATCCTGAAGATGGTAAGATGATTATTAAAAGTGTTGTATGTGCAATTAGTTTGTATTTTTCATACCTGCCAACATACACAATTTAGGCCTTAACTATATTATTATACGATATTAATTAACTCCTTGTCCTGAATGCATGATGATGATTGTGTAAATAACCACCAAAAAAATCTACACAAAAAAATGTCATTTCCTGAAATTTCACTATTGATATACGGTGACTGATCATTTAAAGTATTATATCTGTGTGACAATAACAATCTGAATTTTTATTTCAAACAGCAGGTAATAAATCATAATGCATTTTAGAGTAAATGTTAGAATAAAGACATTCATTATGTTATACATATCATACTACACATTATTCTTAAATATCCAATTTAATAAAGAAAGAATAAGTATGAAATAAAAATTATGATTGCCAATGAAACAACAATCCACCAGAATCAAATTGACTAGGATGAAAGCAATCATAAGTCACTATACGGCCTTCAATAATAAGCAAAACCCATACATATGGTTACTGTCCCATTGTCATATACCCTTCAGTTTGTTTTATTCATATCAAAGCAGCACAGAAAAAAATAAAAGCTTACAGGATGAGTTAGCTAGTAAAAATTATTAGCTTACTGGATGAGTTAGCTAGTAAAAAATAATAGCTTACTGGATGAGTTAGCTAGTTCACAAAAATGTAACCCTTGTACTTTGTCGAAATAGATGAGCAAGAAAAATTAAAATTTTTAATGTTATTTTTTTTTTGCAGAACCATCAATAGAAATCCCCAGTAGACAATATATTATCAATGAACCTATTATCAAAGATGATATTGCCTTGTTGAAGGTACCAGTAGTTAGGACTGGTGACCTGTCTGGTCTGTCAGAAATTGTTATCATGTCAAAAGATGGGTCAGCGGAAGCAGGCAGAGATTACAATGGATTCTCAAAAGGTAAACACCATAAACATGTAGATTCTGTGTCAAGGTAAACACCATAAACATGTAGATTATGTGTCAAGGTAAACACCATAAACATGTAGATTATGTGTCAAGGTAAACACCATAAACATGTAGATTCTGTGTCAAGGTAAACACCATAAACATGTAGATTATGTGTCAAGGTAAGCACCATAAACATGTAGATTATGTGTCAAGGTAAGCACCATAAACATGTAGATTATGTGTCAAGGTAAATACCATAAACATATAGATTATGTGTCAGGTGGCATTGTATGAAGATGGTTCAAAACAAAGACTTATTATTTAGAAACTGGCTTTTATTGCTAAGAACTCAGCATTTAGGAGTAAGAACAAAGACCAATAGGCTTGGAGTCGGAATAATGTGTCCAGGTAGGATGTCTTATCGATATTGACTGTTTTCTTGAGAACTCCCTTTTTAAAAAGCTGACTGAACTGTCAGTATGCTTAAAGCTGGGTTCATATTAATAATGAATTGTTCTCCTTTCCTTATGCATGTAATAATTGCCACTGGACATTAAATCCCAATCCATCATTATTAAAACAGTACATATAAAACAGGAGCTGAGAAATTAGAACTATGGAAAGGTAAGCAGTTTATACTCTACCAATGACTATGGTAAACGTTTTACATTGGCAACATGAGATCTGAATGTTAAAGGCACGTAATTGGTAAATTGCAAAAACTGATGAACATTAAAAGACAACCACTGGTAATGCTAACTAATCAAAGAATGTGTAAGAATGATCATAAAAACTATACATATATGAATTTAAAGAATGAGATTTATTTACAGCTTTGACCTTTCACCCTGGTATATCTCTCGTCAATGTTGAAATACAAATACTGTACGACAAGATCAAAGAGAATCGTGAAACGTTTATTATTTTGCTGACCAAAGACAGATATAATGTGGCTGAAATAAAGGTACATTCTAACATGCACATTAACATTGTTTTAGTTTTACATAGATACAACTGTAAAAAGTTAAAAAAGACAAAATATCAATAAGATATGAATCAAAATAGGTTATGTGCCAAAAAAAAAAAAAAACCTGAAGTCCTTTATAGGTCAACATTAATATATATTCTTTCATGTAATTTTTATTCTTATACTTTTATTTACCTCATAAGTCAGGGCAAACTTGAATTAAATCTTCAAGGAAATGCATCTTTAATTTTTAGTTGCTTTGATGACAAGAGATATAACTATAATATCAGATATCAATGAAACACACACATTTTCTTGCATCAAGAACATTTTTTCGTCAAAATTTTGATGAGTCCACACTTTTTATAAATATGAAAGTTTATCCTACATTTTTGTACCCTCTCTTCAATGTAGGGGTCTATTAGTTTATTTCTAGCTGCCAGTCCTTCCATCCTTCTGACAGCAACTGCAAGTCAGAGCTTCTTGATATATGGTATCAAGCTTCGTCTGGTGGGACATGTTTTCACCTCCTTCGATTTTCTAATTTCTGTTTTGTGAAAAGTTGTATCTTTAAAATGTCATGCACTATTTTCACGATATAATTGAAATTTTTATCTCATTTTCCTCAACAACAACAAGTCAAACTTTCCTGAAATATGCAGGGTTGTAATAAGTAAGGAATAGCTCAAGAGTACATCATATTGTTTCAATACTATCTGAACTTTTTTTTTGAGGAAATATAATTTTTTACAATTAAATGGTAAATTAGAAATTAATGCACACTTTTCTCTGTGTATATTTTATGTTTTTCATGTAGCAAAAACATTTATTTGAAATGAGGTTTGTATTTGTATGTGCAATGCTCAGTTGTATGCTTATTGTGTTTTCCCAGAATTCCAGAGCTATGATCTATATTGAAGAAAACAGCAAGATGGCTGATGTAGTTTTCCCTACCAAACCAATAGTTGTATCTCTGAAAGATTATGATGATGTGTCCTCTGCTGACGACAGAATAATCAATGGCTACCCTGTTATTTGTGTCTCTGTAAGTAAAGTTTCATTTGAACAATTGGTATTTATGCCATTTTTTTCTCTCTCAAAAAATGCATTAGTCAAACATCAAATAGGGCAATTGCTAAATAGTAATATAGTATATGGTCTCTTTTAGGACTAATCATTTAGTAGCCAGTCATTTATATGTGCAAATAACTGTGTAGTGCATATACAGATTTTTTACCTCACCTATGATAGTGGTGATATTTTTTGGTTTGTGCATTCTTCCGTCTAACCTATATGAGGTTTAAGTTTTGGTTTGTGCATTCTTCCGTCTAACCTATATGAGGTTTAAGTTTTGGTTTGTGCATTCTTCCGTCTAACCTATATGAGGTTTAAGTTTTGGTTTGTGCATTCTTCGGTCTAACCTATATGAGGTTTAAGTTTTGGTTTGAGGTAAGTAAATATTTTGGTTTAAAGTATTTTACCATGAAGTTGTGGTCACATCAACTTAAGACATAAGAACACATGTTAACTATGATGTGAACTTTTAAAAATGTATGCCAAATTAGGGTTTTGACCCAGATTTAACATAGAAATGTGATATTGTCAGTGAGTCATAGTGTCCTATGGACACATTTTCTTGTTTCTCTATGAAAGACATGAAATTTGGTTTCAGGGTTTATATAAGTCAGCTATACCGTGTGATGCGTTTTAAGATTCATCACTCAACAATTTCCTGTTTACCGTCAAGTATTTGGGAGGGGGTATCATCAGTGAGCACTAGCTCACAGTTTCACTTGTTCATTATATTCTAATTCGTTACCTCAAACGAACATAAAGTATTTATAAAATAAAAACAAACACTTGTTTCATAGGAATAGCTCGCCAACATGTGCAGCTTACTTGATTATTTTATTACAAAAATGAAATAATATGAGTCCCAATGCGAAAACGTCAACACCGCTGTGTGGTACACAACAGCCTACAAAATAGAAATTCAAAGTGAGAAATCATATAATATATATATATAGGTCTAAGATTTTAACCAATGTCATAGTATAAATATCTATCTATCTATCAATGCATAAAATATTACAAAAGTACAAACATTCATTTTGGGGAGGGGGGTACCCCTTCATCTAAACTAAATTGCACTGTATACGAGCTACGAATGACAATATTCCTTAACTTACTTTAACAAGTAAACTATTTGGGCTTAAAAAATCCTGTGCTATTTACATATAGAATATCATACTCAATATATTTACGCATTGCGACAAATATTGACTAGTCCAAATTAACATACATTTAAAACACAAACCTGTTTATTTAATATAAACACCAGTAGATGACCACTATAAAGACACACACTCACATGTGTTTATTTACATAAATAAAAACACGTGTATGCTCAACTTTGATAAATACATTTAAGCTTGTAATACTTTTTGAATTTTAAACTCTCTTCTTTCTGGTAGAAAATAACATGTTGATGTTTGCAAATACTTAAAGGCTTTTCACAAATCTTGTTGATCCATTGTTAAAAAAAAATGTAGTGGACCTATTGTCTTGAATTTTTTCTGATCTTGTATTTACTTTTTTCCTTATTATATTTAACAGTCATGTAATCCAAGACATCCAGATTTTCCGACAACAGGACCAATGTGTGAAACTCAGGAGATCAATGATACACTTACTAAATTCCAATGGCAGGTGGCAGCACCAACAACAACAGATGGGGTAACAAGTCTGCTAGAGGATATTGTGTCAACTACATTCTTTGCTTCAACAAGAGGAATAACTCTGGACAGTGTATATTTCAATAGCGGTTAGTTATCATTCTTAAGTTTTCAAGGTGATTAAGGGCCCCCCTCATTTAGCTACATAAATGGTTAATGCATATACTTTTTACATGTACTACTCTAAACGTTGCCTAGTTTGGGGGCCCTGTCCCCCTCCTTTTTCAAAATCCTGGATCTGCATCTGGTTTTGTAAGTTACCTATTCAATACCAGTTAGTAATAGAAGTTTATAGTTTTCTTAAATATTCATGGACAAAAAGTTTGAAAACAAATTTTAACACAAAATACTTCTAAAATTTTCAGTTATGCACATATTAAAGATTTGAACCAATGAAAAGAGGATAATTATTTTACTATTTTTCATGTAATCATGGTAATAACTTACAGGTTCCTTTCAGAAATTGTCCTTATGAAACCTGTCTTTGTCATTGTAAATACATACACTTTAGAGATAACTGTATTGTATTTGAAGCTTTGTGGACTTCCATCAGTTTTACTGTTGCAAATTAAGTTTACCTGGCAACAGGTATCGGAGACAGGTAAACAGATATTTGCGACAGTAAAATTACCGATGAACCTTCGCAAAGCTTCACATACAATACAGTTATTTCTATTCTAATGCAAAATAAACAAATCGGTCAGTTTTAGTCATTTGTTCAGTGTAAAATTTTCATTAAACAAAAATTCGCGAAATGATGTTATCTTCTTTGGCGCCTAAACTAGATGACGTCATAGGTATGCTTCCTGCATCAAACGTAAACACCAGGCATTTTCTGGCTTCTTGTCCGCTTCAGAATGTAATAAAATTTGATAAAAAGAAGATTTTAGATGCAAAATGTGAGTTTTTATACGACCGCAAAAAAATTTTTGTGGTCGTATATTGGTATGACGTTGGCGTCGTCGTCGTCGTCGTCGTCGGTTCTGGCGTCGTCCGAAGACACATTGGTTTTCGCACTCTAACTTTAGTTTAAGTGAATGGATCTCTATGAAATTTTACCACAAGGTTCAATACCACAAAAGGAAGGTTGGGATTGATTTTGGGGGTAATTGCCTCAAAATATTAGGAATTAGGGGCCAAAAAAGGGGCAAAAAAAAAGCATTTTTCTAGTTTCATGACAATAACTTGTGTGTAAATGCATGGATCTTTCTGAAATTGTACTACAAGGTTCCATATCACAAAGGAAAAGCTGGAATTGAGTTTGGGGGTAATTGCTGAAACGTTTAGGAATTGGGGGCCAAAAAGGGGCCAAAAATAAGCATTTTTCTAGTTTCCAGACAATAACTTGTGTTCAAGTGTATGGATCTCTCTGAAATTGTACCGCAAGGTACCATACCACAAAGGGAAGGCTGGGATTGATGATGGGGTAATTGCCTCAATATTTTAGGAATTAGGGGCCAAAAAGGGGCAAAAAACAAGCATTTTTCTAGTTTCAAGACAATAACTTGTGTGTAAGTGTATAGATCTTTCTGATATTGTACTACAAGGTTCCATATCACAAAGGGAAAGCTGGGTTTGAGTTTGGGGGTAATTGCCTTAATTGTTTAGGAATTGGGGGCCAAAAAAACAAATTTTTCTAGTTTCCAGACAATAACTTGTGTTCAAGTGTATGGATCTCTCTGAAATTGTACTGCAAGGTACCATACCACAAAGGGAAGGCTGGGATTGAGTTTGGGGGGTGATGAATCATAAGGGGGTTCAAAAAATTTGGGGGGGGGGGGGGTTTCTTTTTTTCCTTTTTTTCCTTTTTTTTTTTCTTTTAAAATTTTCCATTTTAAGTTGGTTATTTCTGATTTATATTTAAAAGCAAATAATAATGATATGGTAGGAGATACACACCAACAGGATGTGTAAATTATTATATAATAAGTATTGTGCAATAGCAAGAAATTTTCATTTGCACAGTATTGCACAATAGCAAGAAATCTTCAATTGCACAGTATTGCGCAATAGCAAGAAATCTTCAATTGCACAGTATTGCGCAATAGCAAGAAATATCCAATAGCACAATATTGCGCAATAGCAAGAAATTGTCAATTGTACAGTATTGCGCAATAGCAAGAAATATTTAATTGCACAGTATTGTGCAAAAGAAGATACTTCGTATAAATTGCTTATTTCTTGACCAATTTCAATGGGGTTTTATTCTTGAATTCTTGGGGTTCTTTAATATGCTGAATCTAACCGTGTATTTAGTTTTTGGATTTTGGGCCCCGTTTTTAAATTGGTCCACATTGAGGTCCAAAGGGTCCAAAATTAAACTTTGTTTGATTTCATCAAAAATTGAATTATTGGGGTTCTTTGATATGCCGAATCTAACTGTGTATTTAGATTCTTAATTTTTGTTCCGTTTTCAAATTGGTCTACATTATGGTCCAAAGGGTCCAAAATTAAATTTAGTTTGATTTTAACAGAAATTGAATTCTTAGGGTTCTTTGATATGCTGAATCTAAACATGTATTTAGATTTTTGATTATGGGCCCAGTTTTCAAGTTGGTCCAAATCGGGGTCCAAAATTAAACTTTGTTTGATTTCAACAAAAATTGAATATATGGGGTTCTTTGATATGCTGAATCTAACCATGTATTTAGATTTTTGATTTTTGGGCCCCGTTATCAACTTTGTCCACATTGAGGTCAAAAGGGTCGAAAATTAAACTTTGTTTGATTTCATCAAAAATTGAATTCTTGGGGTTCTTTGATATGCTGAATCTAACCATGTATTTAGATTTTGGATATTGGACCATAATAGGTGAATGTCCAATTTAAAATTTTAAGTTCTTAGACCACATTCATTCTTTGTCAGAAACCTATGCTGTGTCAAATATTTAATCACAATCCAAATGCAAAGCTGTATCAAGCTTGAATGTTGTGTCCATACTTGCCCCAACTGTTCAGGGTTCGACCTCTGCGGTCGTATCAAGCTGCGCCCTGCGGAGCATTTTATTTTGCTTATTGTTGGAGAAATTACATGTCAATACATTCCGGTATTCAAAATGTTGGCTTCCTTAGTTACAGACAGGGAGATTAAGAATTTAAGCTTATTGTCATCCAATCAGAACCATTGATACAAAATAATTGCATTAGAATAGTTGTTTTTCAAAGATATACAGTATATATTTGTGATCATTTGTATGCAAGAATGTAAATAAAAATATGATTGTAAATAACATTGTTATGATTTTTACATATGATTGTTTTGTAATGTCGTGTAAGTTGAATCACTCAAAGAATAATTCTGTATTTAATATGTTTACAGGAAGTAGAATTAGATGCATTGCTCGTGCTGTCAATGTTAGAGGAGAACCAGGACATACTTACCAAAGTGACCCTGTCAAGGTCAATGGGAAACAAGGAATTTGTCCACCAAGAGAAGTCAATACTGTAGGAGCAGATCCATTCACAGCTAAATTGAAATATCTAGGTAATCATGAAATTGATTCCTTTTAAGTAATTCAAATTTATATTTTTTTTTATGTCCCTGCCAAAGAGATGGGAGCATTAAGTGTTACCCTTCACTGCCTGTCTTTCTGTCCTTCCGTCCGTCCCATTTTCATTGCAAAGCTTGAGCGGGGGCATTCATGTCCTCAGACACATGCTTCTTTTGTTTACTTTTATCAAATATCAATTGCTATTAGATGTTTATGCCAATCTCTTTCCATAAAGTTTTTAAAATTCATTTAACCTTCAAATTATATTTAGTTCTTTATGTTTTCTATTACTTAAAAATTGAAAAAAATGTGTGTATGCTTATTGCAAGCAAGACTGAATATATTTGAAGAAAATGCTACTGAAGAAAGGTTTGTAAATATTATGGACCTGAAAATAAAAAGTTTTAAATGGTTTAGGATTGATATGTATAGATATTTGTGAAATATCAAAATCCTGTATACATAGATGTGACTGTAATATTGTATTCTATTGTAGGACCACAGTATGGCAGTGAGAGTGGTAAAGTCCTTATAACAGTGAAGGTCCCACATCAAGATGGTATGCTTCCAGTCGTGTCCACATGGCAGCCTTCCAACTTTGAATTTATTTTAAGTCCTGATGCATTAAGGCAAGGCCAGCATCAGTGCTCTAATCTGATGGATTATTCAGAATCACGCTTAGGCTTTGGATTTGTTTCTAACAGGACAAAGAATCCATTTATGATCGGTGAAATTGAACCTTATCAGAATAGTGGGGATCTGAGAACAGCAAAAACTTTGAGATTTTACAGGTAATGCATTCTTCTCATTGAACCAGGTTAAATTCTAAGTAGTTTTTATGAGAATTCTTTTTAAAACTTATCACCAACCTATTAGTTGTAACAGCTATTAAAATTTATCAAAATATACAAGAGAACTTGAACTTAAACAGGATGAAATATCATGAATTGTTCATTGACAAATTGTAAATGGGGGAGATCGGGTAAAGGGTATAATACTGGAATTTGAACCATGGGAAGTACGATATATTCCAGTTTACAACTACAAACCAATCCTGACCCAATAATTTTTAGGAAGAAAACGCTAAACACATACATATTGTTAATGGACTAATAAGAGATGTTTTATAGAAAAAATAAGAATATACCAGGGAACAAACAAAAACTAGAAATAAAAATAAGAAACAACACAATAGCCAAAAGAAAAATAAGACATCTGTCCACAAAACACTTCATAGAAAACTTAAGACTGAGCAATAAGAACCCCACCAAAAACCAAGGGCAAAGTCTCAAGGAAGGGTTGCATTTGGATTAAGATAAATAGTGATGTCATTCTTATGAGCTTAATTTGTCAAATTTATTTTGATTAAATTTCATCATGAAAAAAAAATGCCAACAAATATCTAAACTTTCTCTTGGAAACATTATAGTTGGTCAAGGATTACATGGAGGTGCCCTCATAATATATGAATTAGGTTAGATAACAGGGATAGGTTGACTTTTAATTATGTTATACATGCATCTTAATCATTTACAGTTTTAGTAATGAACTGTGTTTATTTTTTTTGTAGTAATTTAGATTACGAGTCCTGCCAGTGGAAATTTCAGGGTATATTTGATATGACATCACTCGTTACCGTTTGTGAGGGAAAAATAGCTGCAGATGGACAGGTAAAATATTACATTTGCATTTTTTATATTGATTGAAGAGCCTTCTTCATAACTACCAAATAACAAAGTGTTTCTTTCTGTAATGTGTTTTTAATTGTCTAAATTTTCATTTTAAGCAGCAAATAATAATCTCCGTCAGTTTTCTTAATACTACTTCAGAAGGACCTCAGTGGCCAATGTCTCTAGTCTTCTCCCAACAACTGAGGAATGTATTATAAAAGAGTACTTTTTATTCGACCAAATTTCACATGTGTTTTTCACCAAGAGACACTTTCTTTAATAAACAAATTTATTTTGAAGTTTAAAAAAATATACCTTTGTTCTAATGCTTTCATGTAAAGGTTAAAACTATGATGTAGTTATTGAACTGTTGCTGACAAGAACAAACAATGTTGGTTATCTCTCTTTCTCTCTATATATATTTATATGACAGCATGTTGTATGTTTTAGCTCCTCAATATCTTGCAGTCCTTTACGACCATAATGTGGGATAACCTCTATATATTTTATGTTTCAGCCCCTTGATATCAAGCAATCCTTTATGACCATGAGACTACCACTATATGTCTCCTATGTTTTCCACTCTTTATCTGGAGACAGAGGGTGGAGACATATAGACACACAGACAGAATTAGAAATGACCTTTGTGTACAATACAGCTGTAATGTGGGATGATGGGATTACATCTTCAAGGTCATCTGACACTGATGGGTTGGAAGGGTCATTATTTCCTGCTAGCATGAAAATTACTAACAACCGTTTGGTAGTGACCTTCAGAACAAAGGCTAGATTCAGAGGGCAATTTGTTATGAATTACCCTGGTATGTAATAAAGTTAATGTTTTTCTGTGTATGATATATGAAATATAAAGTATGACTATATGATTTAACCTTCAAAAACTCTTTGAAACAGGAAGAGGTGAGCAAATGAAATACCAGTAGTGTTAGGCAGAAGCAAAACGGAAAAGATTTGAAAAAGGGAATAGGAATGAACGTACAAGTGTTTACTTTTAAGAATTGATAATAAATTATATTGGATGGAAACTGTGAGACAACATTCTCAAGGAATTCAATAAATTATATTAGATGGGTACTATGAGACAACAGGCCCAAGGAATTCAATAAATTATGTTAGATGGGTACTATGAGACAACAGTCCCAAGGAATTCAATAAATTATATTAGATGGGTACTATGAGACAACAGTCCCAAGGAATTCAATAAGTTATATTAGATGGGTACTATGAGACAACAGTCCCAAGGAATTCAATAAATTATATTAGGTAGGTACTATGAGACAACAGTCCCAAGGAATTCAATAAGTTATACTAGATGGGTACTATGAGACAACAGTCCCAAGCAATTCAATAAATTATATTAGATGGGTACTATGAGACAACAGTCTCAAGGAATTCAATAAATTATATTAGATGGGTACTATGAGACAACAGTCTCAAGGAATTCAATAAATTATGTTAGATGGGTACTATGAGACAACAGTCCCAAGGTATTCAATAAATTATATTAGATGGGTACTATGAGACAACAGTCCCAAGGAATTCAATAAATTATATTAGATAGGTACTATGAGACAACAGCCTCAAGGAATTCAATAAATTATATTAGGTAGGTACTATGAGACAACAGTCTCAAGGAATTCAATAAATCATATTAGATGGGTACTATGAGAGGACAGTCTCAAGGAATTCAATAAATTATGTTAGATGGGTACTGTGAGACAACAGTCCCAAGGAACTCTAAGAAACAACCAAGATGTCTAAGGAATCAGGGTTTTGTTTCTGGTTTTAAAATTGATAAATGCTAGAAGGTCATCAATAATGATGTGAATACCATGTATAAATAGTGAGGGTTTTCTACAAGTTCTATCATTGATTTCCTAGCATAGGCATTTTTTAAAATCATTTATCTATGAACATAAGACAGTCAAAGGGCAGCAAGATTGAAACCTACAATGCAAAGAATGGACTCAACAAAGACTTATCAAACTGCAACTACTTTACTTTGCAAATCTTTAGAATTATATATTGAAACTTTGATTTGGTTAGAATTTAAATAATGATATTTTAGAAGATGATAAGAAATTGAATATTTTGACAATAAATGTAGAGAAAATAAAAAAAAAGATACAACAAAAATTGATCAGTGAATCATACATTAACCATTTATTTATCAACCATAATTATATGTTGTTCATATGGTCTACAGTACTATCAATATAAAGATTTTCACTTTATGATTTACTCTATTGTAGACTCACCATATCAGTCATCTGTATCATGTGTAGAAAATCCTAAAATGACCTTCACATTGAGAATGCTGCGTAGTTCGAAAACTTATGATAAGGCAGACCAACTTTGGCAATTTGAATCTGACTTTTCTGTATGTATATGTCTTATATATATCCTGTTGTAGTGTTGACATTAATGTGATTGGAAAAATTATTAGAAAAAGAACAGTGCCACCATACTGCAACAATCTATTAAAAAAACTAACATTGTTATTATAACACCAGTCCAGTTTACTCCCAAGTTATCTAATGTTTACTGACAGAAGATAAATCTCAGAACATTAATAAGAGTATGTATGGAATATATAAGTTATTTCTAAAATAAAATGGTTGTAGACAAACATATTTTTAATGTAACAAGTCAGTGTGCTTAACCTATGATTACTCTGTGAAAAAAGATTTTGTCAACTTTAAATGTAATTATTTGTAATACTAATGTGAGCAGAAATATTCATATGACTTATTCTGTTGCAGATGAAGGACTATTCTGGATTATACAAAATCAATCTGGTTCCCTGTACAATATCAGCAAGACAGGCATATGATCCTCCAATCAAATGTCAACCCCAACACATAATGACCTTTGACCTACCAATCAGATTCCAACAAGTCAGTGATCCAGTGCCATCTAAGTATACTTTAAATTCCAAATTTAGATTGATGAGGAAGAGAGATTTATGGCTGTCTGAAGATAAAGATGAAGTAGAAGTTGACATGGCATTTTCTCCAGGTATGCCTTCTGTTGAAATTTTTATAAGACCACCGTAAAATGTTTGCATCTGTATAATGCAAAAATCTTAAAAACTTCTTATGTGCAAGTTATATTTTACAAAGTATATTTACATGTTAAAATATATATAATTTTGTCACATTTTATCATAGAGTCAAACATTCAGAAAGGTGAAAATTTTATCAATATATCATTTCCTTTCAGGTGATACACTGTATGGTAGAATAGATTCATCAGCTGACCTTGGACAGAAAATTAACCTTGGTATAGACAAAGTATTTTTATGTTCTGGAAAAGATGGTTATATACCTAGATATGATCCAGAAAATGACCTATACGGATGTCTTGGACCAAAGGATAAACTTGAACATTCACTTAAAATACTTGTAAGTGTTTGGAGCCTGAATCAATGAACGTTCAAATAAGTTGTGTCATTTTGTCCATCTGTCTTGATGATCTATCCATCAACATTTTTTTTGAGAGGACAAATCCTCACATACTTTGCTTTAATTGGAATGAAATTTTACCATTTTCAAGCATAATATTTAACATATTACATTTTCATATAAATAGGAAAATGTTTTAGAAAAATATACACTTCTCCTACATTAAAGCTTGGACTGGATTTAAAGATTATGGATGGTTTTTCAAACGAGAAGGTGTTTCTCAGCTACAATCTCATCGAAGGGGATATCCTGATAATATTTATTGCTATTTTGCCTATGACGTCGTTAATGTTTACATTCACAACTGCAGGTGCGCTCTTAGTTTCTAACGATAATTTTCTATCTCAAGCCAATAGCATGATACGAAATATTTTCACAAAAAAAAGGTCAAAGGACAAATACACAAAATAGCGATAATTAAAGTTAACACAATTATTAAGCATCAAATATAGTTCAAATTCTCACATGGAGTATTACTTGGTGAAATTAATCCTGATAATCCTGATCCTGTTACTTAATACCAATACCTATACCTTTAACTTAATGGTAATTTTCATTTTTATTTTTTAGGATCCATTAGCACAAGATACGGTGGATACCAGTGTGGATGGGATACAGTTTAAAGTTCTGCTGGCCAGAGACGACCCTAGAGCCACTTCTCTAGTACAACAACCTGGATCTGATGGATTTTCTATTGATACTCAACCTTTGTTTGAGGTTAGTCTGATAATTTTTATGGTGTAATTTTTTCTCTCCATTTTTCAGGAAAGGGATTTTAATGTATTTTATATAGCCATCAGATTTTTTCAAGTTAATGGCATTTAACTGTAAATTTGAATTTAGTACAAATAGATCATTTACAGTAAAATTCTATAGAAAATTAAAATTTTTTTAGTCTATTTCATGTTTTGTAGAATTTTTATGCCCCGCCTACGATAGTAGTAGGGGCATTATGTTTTCTGGTCTGTGCGTCCATTCGTTCTTTCGTTCGTCCGTTCGTTTGTCCATCTGTCACGTGTCAGGTTGAAGTTTTTGGTCAAGGTAGTTTTTAATGAAGTTGAAGTCCAATCAACTTGAAACTTAGTACACATGTTCCCTTTGATATGATCTTTCTAATTTTAATGCCAAATTAGAGTTTTGACCCTAATTTCACGGTCTACTGAACATAGAAAATGATAGTCAAGTGGGGCATCCGTGTACTATGGACACATTCTTGTTATTATTTATCATTTGATTGAATTATTCTTTTTAGAAATACGCCAAATGATAGAATGGTTGTCAACAGAAACCTATAATTGTATGATGCATCTTGAAATTATTATATTTCATATAATATAGTAAAGAATATGCATATGAAAATAAATTTATTTTATTAATGATTTTCAGGCTGACAATGAAAGAGTTTGGTTTTTACATTCTGTTTACTCATTAAAAGCAGACAGACAGAAGAGAGACCTTGCATCAGAAGGGCAAAACATTGATCAACCGGGGACTGGAACAAACATGATCAGGATCAGAACAACCACAAGACCTCAGCCTAATGCTGATCTGAACCTTTCTAGAAGTGTGGATGAGAAACCACCGAGCACTACACTTCTGCCAGTTTTGATTGGCCTGTCAATACTGTTAATAATTATTTTAATTCTCTTAATTGTTTTGATCAGAAGACATAAGAAGCGATCTTCACCGCCACCATCACCAACCAGTACAATCACGGTTGTTGATAGGAAAGGTAAAGTTATGGTGGTTCATCTACCTGATTCAAATTCTGCTGATCAGAGATCTGAAGTTTAAGAGTTTATATAGAAACCATCTATTTATATCCATGATGCAATACTTAACAATCATGATATGCTATGGTTAAGATCAGTAAAGATTTTCAATCTTTTTTTTGATGATGTGAAAGATCTGTTGAACAATAGTTACTGAAATCAAGTACAGCTTATATTTAAAAGTGAGGTGAATTTGTCAACATTTGTGGCTAACTTGTAATGTAATGTAAAACAGCAGGACTTTTTTTAAAGAATGGTGTTGATGAAATTTGAATTAGTCATTTAACTGAAGATCTATCCTTTTAGAGTCTGCTTTCCAATGCAACTGATCTCAAAGAATTATATTGAATATTAAAAAGAAGTAAAAAAGAAAGGGTAAATAAGTATTGCTGAAAACCTGTAAAGGTATAGTATTGGGCATAGAGGGTAAAATACTCATATAGTATAAATAAGGAAGATATAGAAATGAATTGAAATGGTGAACTCAATTTTGTGTTTGAAGTTGATAGCTTTTCCCAAAGACAATTTAGTCAATGTTGATTTAATTACAAAATATTAATCCCATAAGCTCCAACTATAACAGAAGTTTATAAATTACTGGAATTTTACAACATTGGAATTAGACTTTTAAACCAAACATTCTAAAGTGCCATTGTTTTGTACGTAATATATTCTTTTTCTAGATTTATTTCAGTATTTTTGATACAAGGATTTACTTATTCTTATCAAATTAAAGTTTTCAAATATAGATTTAATAGTTTTGAAGTAAACTTTGTAATGAAAGCAATATTTCTTTGACAATCTTACCCTTTTTATTAGTTTTTTTTTTATATTTTAAATCTTCCAACGTATTTGAGGACTTCAAGCATCTGAACCCTTTTGAATAATATCTATGCATATTCTTAAATGATTGATGTCAATATATGATAAAACTTTGTTGGAATGACTACATCATATTTAAACTGTTCCTGAACTTTGCCTGATAAAATACTGATTATTATGATATATTTTTATGCAATATTACAATACTACTTCATCTTTGCTATAACCTACCAAACATGGATACTTTATAAAAGCCAGAACTTGTTGGTCTCTTCTTACAGAATTGTTTTTTGAATTGATATTTATAAGGTAGTATTTGAATTTTGTTAAGCTTTATTTGTAACTCAAAGTATGTTTTAATATGTATTTATGTTAGTGAGTAATTGGTTTTATATATTGTGAGCTGAAAATATTTTACAAATATAATGATATGGGACAGTGTGTGAAAGTGTTAAGTGCTTGTGACAAGTGCTTACTGAATATATGTTCAGGATGTATTTATTTTATTTATTTCATTTTCTGTTTATACCAAAGACTATTTTGATACAAAAATCAAAACTTGATTGCCAGTCATCCATTAAAGAAATACTCAACATCATTATTCATTTATATTTTTAACATTGATCATGCTAGGAAAAATATAGTAAATGCTAATCATATTTCAAAATAGTAGGTTAACAATTATTTATTCTTGTGTATTTTCAATCATGCAGTTTAGTTTTTTAGTTTGAAAATCTGGTACCCATGAAGTTTTGCTCAGATTTAACAGTTGAGGTAAAAAATTGAGAATTAAAGTGGTCAAAGGAAAGTTTAATCTGAGTGGTAAAAAAGAACCTATCACAATGTTCTCTTCCCCAGAAGATATCTAATTTATATATCTGTTAATCTCACATAGAATTCCATGCTTAATGTTTAGATTTTATAAGTAAAGAACATTCCCATTCCTTTTAAAAGTGCAATGTTTTTTTTATTTGTTGTGTAGTTTTCATATCTTTTATTTACAAAAAACTTTGTGTTACAATAGTGCTTTGCTCCTTTCTCTTGTTCTAAAGGTTAAAAGATGATTTTTTTTTTCAAAAACAACTTGCAATTAATTTTTCCTATATATCGAATCGATTGTTATCCTTGGACATCAATTAACTTAAAGGATTATTCCTTTGTCCAAACCTAGAAAGTACATCTTTTTATATCACTAGATCAGTATCTTAGTTGTCATTTAGGATTGCTCTTGCTCACACAGAAATTAGAAATGTTATTTACAGTGCATCATGTTTATTTTTTTACAAATTATTCAAGTTTTTTGCAATTTTTATGTGTAAACATTGTGCCATATGGTTTATTTGTGTGTTAAATCAACTTATTTGTTTACAATCTTGTGCATCGGGTAACATTTTTTATATAAACAATCAAGACACAGTTTTATTTACTGTTGATTCATTATTGTTCGTTGGATACTGAATTTCATGGATTTCCTAGCAAAAGGTGAACTGCGAATTTAAATGTTCAACAAAGAACAATTTTTTCTAGGGGCTTGTGTGTAGACTTTGGAAAAACCACAAAATCAAATATGGTATCCACGAAAATACAATTTTTCCTCAATCAATGAAAATTTGTACCCACGAAAATAAATGAATCCACATGCTTATTATTTATTCAGATACTTGTTAATCAGTAACATTTTCTAATTTTCATAAAATAATTCATACATCATAAATGATTTGAAGGAAAAGCTAATATTACATTGTAATGTCATTGTACTGTTGTGTATGTGTGGTTGTGTATTTGTAATAAATGTGATGAATGTTATGATACATTATTTGTTTATGAATTAATTATGTGTGTTATATTTATTCTGACTGTTGATCTTTTACTTGTACATTTGATTGACTAATCATATAAAACATCCAAATAGTCATTCAAGAAAGGAGACGTGTAGTCACTGCGAGGTCAGTGCATATGTTTGGTCTTAAATCTATCATCTTGTTAACAAACTGAAAACATTTTAGAATTTTTCTAAATATTTTTTTGTTTTTCTATCTGGTTAAAATAAAAGTAATACAGTACTATCTTATAAATTAACAATATGTGTATGTCTATTAATATGTTTTGTCAATTTATTTTTACATTTAGGAATTGAATTATTTTCCTTCTCCTAAGTGTAAAAGAAATACATCTAACCTTGTTTCATACTAATGTTTTCTTTCTTCACACCCTCCATACAAGTATATGCTTTTTCTGCTCATTATGCACCAAATTTGATATTTATATTAAACGATATTTTGTCTTTAATATTTCTAATAGAAGTGCTGAATGCCATGTTTTGACTGCACATGCCTAATATGGCAATGTAGCTTTTGTTACTTTTAAGTGTTTTGTATTTTTAACATGTTTAATTATTATGTTTTTGTTAAGAATACTCATACTAATCTACACCTTCACATCATGTCTACCTATTGTGGATACAGTCACTACCGCAATAAAATGGTTTTTACAATAAAATTAATTATTTATTTGTGTTTTATTATAACCCACCTAAGAGTAAAGAAACCCTATGTTTTTATACGACCACAAATTTTTTTTGGGTTCGTATAATGGTATCATGTCGTCGTCCGAAGACACATTTAGTTTCTGGACAATAACTTTAGTTTAAGTGAATGGATCTCACTGAAATTTTACCAGAAGGTTTAATATCACAAAAGGAATGTTGGGATTGATTTTTGGGGTTATGGTACCAACAGTTTAGGTATTAGGGGCCAAAATAAGCATTTTTGTAGTTTCCGGACAATAACTTGTGTGTAAGTGTATAGACCTCTCTGAAATTGTACCACAAGGTTTCATATCTCAAAGGGAAGGCTTGGATTGAGTTTGGGGATAATTGCCCCAAACGTTCAGCAATTGGGCAAAAAAAGGGCAAAAACAAACAATTTTCTAATTTCCAGACAAAAATTTGTGTTTAAGTGTATGGATCTATCTGAATTTGTACTAGAAGGTTCCATACCACAACGGGAAGGATTGTTTTTTTTGGGGGGGGGGGGGGGGGTGGCTAAATTCTCCATTTTTTTTTCCATAATTTTTTGGGTTTTTTTTTCTAAAATTTTTTTCATTTTTACATTATGATATGTTTGCTTTAAATAATCAAGAATTTACCTATTTAGCAGGAAACATTTACCCATGAGAACTTATAGAAGATAAATCTAAAACAGACTGCTACAATTGTCCTTTTCTAGGTTCGGATATTTCAATTTGACATGGGAAACTATATACAAGGAATTCCCTTTTTGGACAGCTGTTACTTTTGACCCCTTCTTACAGTGTATATATTTGACTACTTGTTCTGTATGCCCGTTTTGAATTTCAAGGAATATAATTTAAGGTGGTACCTAACACTACAGGGAGATAACTCTGTTAAAATCAGCTAGACGTTTTAATCATGTTGTATTGTTAAGGAAATATTAAGCTTCTCAATGATTAAAATAAGTGTTTGTCAAACTGCTATATAACCAGTGAAATTTTTCTGATAAAGTGATTGGTTCAAATTATTTGAAATTTTTATATGTTTGTCAAAGGGTCAAAGTAAACATTTTGTCAAAATTTTAGGAAAATTAAACGAGCCAAATTAATATTAGTCAAGGTGTTGGGTACCACCTTAAGTATAACTGTTAAATTATTAAGTCAGGGATTTTATTACAATAAATTAAATAAAAGTTTAACTAAATTCTTTCTTAGATACAAAGATATGGTTAGGATGTTTGACTGTACCTGTTGAATTCTAATTAAAAAACGGGATATAACATCCTACGTTTTATAGTGATATTGTTTATATAGCTTGTAAATTTAGATACGATGTACACTTATTGATCCTTTAAATAAACTAATTTATTGGTTATCAAATTAACACCTTAGTGAAATCTTAAAATAATTGGTTAAATAAATATTGCTCGTTACACAAAACATCAAGATTCCAAGTTCCTCTTGCCGTCCAATGTTAAACTCCACTGACTATCTAAGGGATACTCAGCTGATTAGATTTATTGACACATGCATGTTTGTTTAGATAATAATACTTAAATATTGCTAATGTCACCGATTTATTGAGTTAAGCCATTTGCAACTGATTTTTAAAGGCAGTGCTTTAATGCCTTTCTAGTTGCCGTGTTAATATTTCTTTCCGCGATATCCAACTTATCTACGTGGGGGGTCATTTAGCTCCAAGTAGATCCGGAAAATGTTGATTCTCTCCTCTTCTTATTGTGGTATAAAATGTTTTTTGTCTCATTTCATTTACATTGGGAAATAGAGAAACGATCATTGTGTTTTGTTAGTTTTAAAAACTTTTGATATATTTGTATTTTACATTATAAGCAGTCAACCGATTGACAAACTAGAATTATTTGAATTCCGTGTGGAAAGAGGTCGGGTTAATTTCGAGTGTTATCTGCAATCTAGATGTTTATAAATCATTTCAGTCGTTGATATAATAATTAAAGGTCGACTGAACATGAATTATATTATACAATTTAAAGCGCATTTCTGTTTATGCACGCGAACCCGTCTAACGTTATTGTTATTTCGCAGTTATATAAAGTAGCAAATTATCGTTCCTGAATAGGTGGCGCCGTGATAGCCGATCCTGTACTTCAACTTCCGGTTTCTGCACTGTGCAACTATTACAGTTGCATTTTTAATTAACGATGCCAAGTACTTGTTGTTGTGTACCTGGATGTCATTTAAGAGGAGGACATGCATTTCCAAATGACTTAAAAAGAAGGAAAAGTTGGATCAACGCCATGGCCCATACGCAGATTGGACGACATCTCAATCAGCTGTTGTTTGTAAGGCACATTTTACTGAAAAAGACTACGTGCAGGAAACTATTCATGATAAAACTCTATTTTCTTTTTAAAATATATAGTTATATATGTAATCGCCATGCGAATAAACCAAAGTCAGTTTACAACCGCAGTTATCGTTTTAGAATAAAAGGGGGTGGTTAATTCAAGACGTCATAATTTTTTGGATTACGATTCAATGTGATCTGTTTGAGATTTTTTGGTGCTTGCTACAATTATAATGATTTCTTACAAGAGGTATATCATACTGAGAATTATTTTAGCAGTAATTATGCTTATGTAGTAATGACAGGAATGCATAAGCTATGGCTCATAGACTTTCTTGAAAAATATCAATGACAATGTTAACAGGAACAAAACAATGACATGCTCTCATCTATATTATAGTTATTTAGGTACAAACAATGTATGTTTGTTGCATACGTCTCTCATTGTTTGTCCTTTGGATTTACATAACATACATTTTGATGTACATTGAATCAGGCTAACATAGTTTTATCCAGATTGTAATGAATAAATCTAGTTAATATTTTGCCAGGTTACGAGTACAAAGGAATTATAGTTATCTCGTACCATTGTAACTCGTACCAATGTCAACTCGTACCACTAAACAAAAACTCGTTCCAATGCAAACTCGTACCACTGCTAACTCGTACCACGGTAAATTCGTACCATTGTAAACTCGTACCAACTTATTTAAATGCATTCAAATGGTGTTTAATGATGAATATATACTTTAATTTCACTCAATACCTCTTAAGTCTGTAAAATGTATATAATTTGAAATTACAATAACCAATTTGTAGCTAATTTTCCTTGTCTAATTGGATAGAGAAAACCGTGGCAGATTGGCTTTGTTGTCTCCCTTGAATAGACTCTTTTTAAAACTTTTACTGACAACTATTTGATTTAATTTTTAATCATTCCAAATCAGTAACATTGAATAGATTTGGGTATTTTTCTATTGTTTCTAAAAGGAATTTTATTTAATGAAAGAATTTATTGATTGTGTTTTAAAGGTTTAAAATTGTTTATGACCAACAGTTAGAAAGTATGAAATTTATTTTTATACAATATTCAGCACATTTCAGCAGTATATGACCATGCTTATATGATTATACAAGTTGATGAGTTAAAGATAAAAAAAAACAAGTTGATTAGTTAATAATCAACCAATAATCACACAATCAAAGGAATTTAATATATTTATTAGCATGGTAATTAAGAAATTACATTCGTATTTTTGTCTAAGTTTTCATTAAAATCTGGTATAAATTTCAACGATATTTTAATTTTTTGTATAGAGCTTCAAAAAAAATAATCATAAAACATTCGTATTTTTGTCTAAGTTTTCATTAAAATCTAGTATAAAATTCAAGTAATTCAACTTTTTTTATTTAGTTTACCAAAAAAAAAATCATAAAACTTTCGTATTTTTGAATATATTTTTAATGGTACGAGTTTGCAGTGGTACGAGTTCTGATTGGTACGACTTCCCAGTGGTACGAGTTTACGTTGGTACGAGTTTACAATGGTACGAGTTAACTTGCTTCTGTACAAAGTATGCATTGCTAATGGAAGTTCATTTAATTATCAAAAAACTAATGTTTTATAACCTTTTTCAGGGCACAAACCCACCATACAGAGACTTAAGTCTACTGCCAATCCCAGCCTATTTTCCTGGACCAAGCAAGAGACTGAATCGTCCGCAAAAAGAAAAATCAGGGCAGTTTCCTGTGAAAACAAAAGAACTAGACTTGATGAATATTGTAGTAGAAATCTAGAGGAAAGTTTTGATTGTAAAGTTGGTTTTCCTGAAGAAGTAATTCATACTGCAGACAGGATTTATGACTGTCCACCACCAACTGCCGAGCTAATGTTGAGCTTCACAGATGGAATTACGCAAACACCATCAATGCCTTTATTTTCAGCAGAGAATTTTGAAATGAAGACACGTGACACAGCCATGCATTTTTATACCGGTTTAGAGTTGTATACTAAATTTTTATTTGTTTTGACCACACTTGGTCCAACAGCACATTGTTTGAGATACATATATTTTCAAATTGATAGGGTGTCATTTGAAAATCAGTTTTTTTATGACTTTGATGAAATTGATGCATTATACAACCAACTTTGAACTGTCTAGATTCTAGATTGAAACTAGTGTTAAGAATATTGTGTAAACATGGATTGTTTTTATGTCTAAACAGTGGCGTGAGGCTAACACTTGGCCATTTAGTGGTTTAGTCAGGTATTTTTCGCCATCCAACTTAGAATTAAAGTTTCCTACAACTTGGATTATTATTGACAGCACAGAATATCCCGTGATAAAACCTAAAGCTCCTAGAGCTCAGGCAACCTTTTCATCATATAAAAACAGAAACACTGAAAATACTTGTATGTTCGACACCTGGTGGTTTAGTCAACTATGTCTCTAATGCATATGTTGGTTGTACCAGTGACTGTGAAATAGTTGAAAGATGTAGAATACATGTGTAGTTCAATTATGTGATCCAGGTGACAGTGTGATGGCAGACAAAGGTTTAAATGTGCAAGATTTGTTTGCTCACTTTTTTAATAAAAAAGAAACAGAATTAGTTCCAAAACTCTTATACGGGATAGAAAAGTCTCCAATTAACACGTGCACATAGAGCTAA